CCCCAAGAGCCCCTATAGATCCCCCAAGAGCCCCTGTAGATGCCTACAGCAGCCCATCAGCTCCTGAAGGATCCCTCCTCGCCCTGCCAAAACTTCCTGTGGGACCCTATAGATCGCCTGTAACTCCCTATTGAGCTCCTCCAAGATGCCCTACAGACCCCTTTACATCCCTCATAGACATCTATAGGTCTCTTATGTGCCCCTGTGGACCCTTACAGCCTCCTATGAGCCCCTACAAACCCCATACAGACTCCTACAGATTCCCTACAGACCCCTATAGCTCCCTCTATATCTATATCCCCCACAACCCCCATATACCCTTTTAAATGCCCTATTGCTCCCCCCACAGACCCCCTATAAATCCCCTATGGACCCCTACAGCTCTCTACAGATTCATTAGCTGGTTCTATAGACCCCTATAAACCATGCTATAGACACTATAAGCCTCCTTATGGCTCTTACAGCCCTCTATAAAGCTCCTCTGGGCCGCTATAGGTCCCTATAACCCCCCCCCGTCCTCCTATAGACCCCCTACCAGCTCCTATAGACCCCCCTTATGGGCTCCCATAGGTGTCTATACCTCCTAGGAACTCCTATAGTTCCTATAAACCATGTAAAGGTTCCTATAAACTGCCTTATAAGCTCCTTTAACTCCCTATAACCCCCCCAATGAACTCCTATAGATCCTATAAGTTCTCCTAGGGGCTCCTACAGACCCCCTTATGGGCTCGTATAGGTGTCTATACCCCCCAAGAAGCTCCTATAGTCCATCTAAACCCTCCTAAAAGTTCCTATAGGCCCCTATAAACTCCCCTATGGGCTCCTTTAAGTCTCTCTAACCCCCCCAATAAACTCCTACAGATCCTGTAAGTTCTTCTAGGGGCTCCTATAGACCCCCTTATGGGCTCCTATAGGCATCTATGTCCCCGAGGAGTTCCTATAGCCCCTATAAACCCTCCTAGAGGTTCCTATAAACTCCCCTACAATCTCCTTTAAGTCCCTCTAACCCCCCCAACAAACTGCTACAGATGCTATAAGTCCTCCTAGGGGCTCCTATAGGCTCCTGTAGACCCCCATACACTGCTATAGGCTCCTATAGACCCCTATAGATTCCTCTGCGGCACTTGCCCGCTCCCACAGGGCCTCTGCTGCCCTCTAATGATCGACAACGGAACCGAGGGTCCAGAACTGGGGGGGGACCCAGGAGTTTGGGGGGGGCACCCAGTTGTCCGAGGGGGGCACCCAGTTGTCCGGGGGGGCATCCAAGTTTTTTGGGGGGGGGCACCCAGGTGTCAGGGTGGGGGGGACCCAGGTGTACGGAAATGGGAACTTTATTGAGCCGATACAAAACCCCCCGACTCGTTAAAAGCCACCAAAG